TTGACGATGAACCCCGTGATAAAGGGAAATCTGTCAAATATCATAAGATGAAGGAGCAAGGATTACTACCCGACTATGTAATCCATCTCATAGAAGATCAAGCGAAACAAGCCAGCTCGAAGCGATCTTTTCAAACATCCGCGATAAATCGGCTTTTCACTCGAAGCGGTGATGGGACCTTGGCTCTCAACCTCGATCATGGACTATTTGTGGAAGCACAAACCATCCACACCAAGCATTTCTCGAAAGGGTCCCAGAAGGCCCTGCCACAGTCGGTCATGAAAGGCCTCTACTTCGGTAATTCGCAGGCGGCTTTCGAGGCAGCAGTGAATGCAGGCGAAGTGGTGGAAGTCACCGGGGAAGACGGAAAGACTTATTGGGCTTACCAGTCCTACGAAGTCGGCCGTGAAGACGGCAAGAGTGACTCGCTTCATCATTTGTTTTTTGGTTGCTTTTCATTCTTTAGTGGAATAATCGGGAACCCAAAGGCCTCTCTTTTCAGACAAAGAAAACCGCAGAGGGTTTCAGGTTTAGGGGGCGACGATGAGATAATGTGATATTAAAAGATGTTTGCGACTCTTGTTGGCCACATTGACGATTGGGTGGTTGGGTTGGGTGGGTCGGCGGGTGGGTGGCTGGTTTAGGGTTTTGGGTTTTGGGTTTAGGGTTTAGGGTTTGGGGTTTAGGGGGGTGTTGCTGTGCTTCGACATTATGGTATTGTGATTATACGAGTTCTCAACCTATGGGATCGCTACATGCCTAAATTAAATTTGTGTATATAGGCTCTAGCCCGACTCCACCCCGTCCTAAATCCAAAGCCCTGAACCCTTAACCCGATCACTAAGCGATAATAAATACTAAACCCGTCGCCCTATCTGTCTGTGACTGCCTGGGATGTCCACAATGCAGAGAGCCAGCTGCCTTCCAGGTTTGGGGGGTTCTGGTTGAGCTTTTACTTGTCAGCGGTTGAAGGCTTCTTAGTGTTTTGGGGTTTATCCAGGCACCAAGGTATCTTCAGGCGCTTTGACTGTGCTGCTAGTTTGTGTGTGCTGTTGTAAGGTTTAGGGTTTAAGGGTTTAGGGGGCTCGTGTGTCTACAGTCCAGGCACTACACAGACGTTGACCAAGCAGCAGAACAAGCTGAAGAAGGGAGAGATGGACATTCTAGCCGAGGCTTTCAAGGGAGTGAATTGGAAGCTTTCGACGAAGGATCAAGCTGACATGGTCAACTCAGAGGGTGTGGTGTCACCGGCTGCACAGACCCTGCTCCAGCAGGCCGTGGATTCCCAG